CACGGGTTTATTACGAATTCACTTAACGGCCTGCTCCCAGTTGGCTTGTTAGCTCAATTGGTAGAGCGCTGCACTAGTATCGCAGAGGTCAGTGGTTCGAATCCCGTACAGGCCTGATTTTTTTCAGGTCTGATTTTCGCTATTGCTTAAATAGCGCTATCTACCGCGAGGATCGTGCATCATACGTATCTAATACCGCAGTTCAAAATATATGAACTTCATATATTTCATTGTATCTTAAAAGCATTAAATAATTTTATTTGTGCTTTCTAAGGTAATGTGCCTAAATTTTTAACCAAACAATTTGCTAAAAACCAAATGGGTATTCGAATGCTGAAGTCAAAATACGACGTTACATGAATTCGTGGTGAAATTATGTAAAAAAGTGGCCAGTTGAGGTGTTGCACGTAGATCCTGTTCACGTCCTTAAGAAAAAAAATATATTGGCAGCTTTTTCATTCATGAAGTCAAGAATTTGTGAAATGTTAATGCCTTTTCACAGACTTCGAATTTTCTTTGCAAAGATCATTGCACGAAGTAAAAGGCTTCTATAGGACCGTCATATTGTTAATATCCGTGCTCCTTTACCTTCAACGAATACCGAATAGAATAACGAATAACGAATAGAAAAGAGTTTGAGAACCTTGAGCCCACCTAATTAATTACCAATGAATAAATAACTAAATAAATAAATAAAACAATTTAGAGGATAATGTTCTGTCGTAAATTTGCAAGCATTTTCTTGACAATCTATTTAACCAAAATCCAGTCACAATAACGGAAAGGTTTAGATCTTTCGAAAGGTCAAACTAACCTTAAGTTTCTACGTGAACGGATTTTAAGGATGATATAGGTGAAAAAATAATCCAATATAGGCGAAAGGTTGATTATTAAATGTAATAAAGCCTCTTTTTGTTAGTCGGGCGGAAATATGTCAATGCGATTGTTGCGCGCACCCTAAATAACGTAATTCCTTCAAATGATTCTCGCAAACGCTTTGCTGATGAAGCGAGTCCTGGGTCATAGAATTCACAACACTCATTTCCCTCGTGACACAGGTGAAAAACCCTACTCGTCAATTCTTAAAATAAAAGCGGAGAAGTGCTTCACTCAATCAATGGCCTACAAATGCAAATCTTTTGTTGATATTAAGTAAGGGCTCAGGAATATATCTGAATTGAAAGTACATGAAACTCGAGTTTAAAAGAAAACCACAATAATTTGTAAATTCCCATTGCTTCAATGAAATAAACTGAAGTTCTGGTAAAAAGATCGATGGCCGCTTGCACACCAACTTTGGATATTTCATCGTTGAGTTCGAAGTTTCCCTTTTCCTTTTGATGATAGAAATTTTGGCGCGAATAATTTACCGATTAGAAGTGCTCTAAGAGAGCCTTAAGAGCTGTCCATAAAGATCGAGCCTCTTTTCAATCACATTTCATACAAAATTAATATATTAAGAGGGTTTAATTGATCACCTCCTCAATTTATAACCTGGGCAAGGTGGAATATGACTTTAATCACTTTTTAACAACAGCCAAAGAAAATTAATCTAACTTAGAAACTAAAAGGACGGCAAGATGAGTCATTTTCCCCAAGATGGGCTATTGTCTCCATCGCAAATCAGTTTCTAGAAGAGAAACATTTTACGGTCGGCCACGGGTTCTTCAGGATGCCTTGAAAGAGGAAACAGTGCGATAACCACTGCATGCCAAAATGATTGTGACCACATGAGCATCTAAGGAGAAAGGGAGTAAGTTTCCAAAGATACTGTTGTGCTGCGTCGGTGGGGGTAACAAGGTAATTTAGTGCTATCAACTAAGTTGAAATTGTAATTTGGCCACCGTAAAGAGTTAAAAAGCTGACATTTCGGGCTTTAGTCCTTCCTCAGAGCAAATGACGAAGGGCTAACGCTCGAAACGTCACCTTTTTAACTCTTTACGGCGACCAATTTACAATTTCAACTTAGTTGATAAAACCAAATTATTTGAGGATAATCTACTAACACGCCAAGAACTTGTGCGTAAATACAGTAGTTACACTCAATCGAAGAGCGCTCTCTTCTATTTTATTTTTATTATATAGATACTGATGAAATACCAGGATTTCTCCTTTTACTAAGAAATCATATCTTCACCACGCGGAGTGAAGATACTATTTTTATCTTTCATGTGTGAGGATATTGGTGTGGCCATGGTTACCAACATAATTACCCAATTGCTGTTTCGAAAATGAATAAAAAAAGCTGTCTTTTATGTGGAGATTTCATCGGTATCTATATAATAAACAGAACATTACATGGCCGCTTAGGGATACGAATTTTATCTTCTCATGCTGAAAGTATCTCTCACGAGTGAGCTGCGCTCACTCGTGAGAGATACTTTGAGCACTGGAAGATAAAATTCGTATTCCCGCGCGGTCATGTAATATCCTCTATGTCTTAGTTGTCTTCGAGTATCTTTTATTTCATTTTCTGATATATTTGCAAAATACTTCTTTGACCCGCAGATAGCAAATGTTAATCAAGGCAGGTCATTTTTTAAAATGAAGTAACTAAAATTAATTACACTGGCAATCAAACGGAAATGAAGAACCACAACATAAAATGACCTAAAGATACACAAGAAAAGAAACAAAAATAGGGAAAATGAAAGATTTTCATTTTAAAGGAAAAAATTTTAAGAGTTTTCTAGGTGTACGAAACATCTTGTAGAACTGGTTCAATTTGGTTCAATTTAGTTGTGTTTGAATTCTCTTTTAAGATTCACAACAAGATACACAAAAAGATACACAAAAAAATTAACAAAAAGACACAAGAAAAAAAAGGGAAAATGAAAGATGTTCATTGTAAAGGAAAAAAAGTCCTAGTGTTTTGAAGTGTATGAAACACGTTGTAGTAGTGGTTCAATTTGGTTCAATTTGGTTCAATTTGGTTCAAAGTTGTTGTGTTTCATCTAGCTCCATATAAGAATCTTCAGTCTCTAGAGTATTGAGAAGAGCTCTTTTTGTTTCTTTTTTGTAGGATTTCTTGGACAAATTTTTATGTTCATTATTTCCATATTGTGGAAGGTAGCAAATAATTGCTATTGTTCTGAAATGATACATCAACCTTATTTTTGTATTGAAGCAGTTCATTGTACCCTTTCTAAAGATTTAAAAGGAAAAAAAGTGAGATCATTGGTCAGAAACACCTGGACTAACTTTTTCACCAAGATCCTCTTTGCATAATAAATCATAGGAGGCGAAAGCTTCACCTTGCATTACTTTTACGATTATCTACTTTTGCTTAATTATAGAGTTAACTCATCTTGTTTAAAATTAAACAGAATTTGTTTTTTTCCTTATCTAGGTTTCTCAATCCCAAGTTATTTTTTGCAAAAAAGGTTTTCCAAGCAAGCGTAGCCTTACAAGCTGACAAACATGTCTGAATCACCTACCCATGATCCTCTTGGTCGCTCAAGAACTGAAATTGATGTCGAAGTGACTATGGCCATTCTCGTCTGCCTCTCAGCCGTAGCCGGTAACTTGCTCGTTGTTTATGCTATTAACAGAGATTCCAGGCTTCACAACGTCACCAACATATTCATTTCAAATCTTGCATTGACTGACATTGCCGCGGCTACGATAGACATGCCATTCTGGATTGCGAGCCTTTATGCGGGGACCCGGAATTTCAGCCAAGTGTGGTGTCAGATAGCCGGATTAGCGTTTTCCATTTTGGCTGTGGCTTCCATATTCACCATCGGATTGATAACCTTCAATCGGTACCTAAAAGTCGTAAAACCCATCCTGTACAAAAAAGTATTCCCCAGTAAAAAAGCAGCTTGGCTGTATTGTGTTTTAGTTTGGCTGGTTGCCATTTTTCGTGGCGTGCCCATACTTAGTGGGGGGATAGGGGTATCATATAAGACAAAACTTGGCGTTTGTACTTCGGAGAGCGGCATACTCTCACAGTTTGTTACTGGAGTGTTTATTTACGGAGTCTTGATCATAATATTTTACTGTCACTTTAAAATCTACAAAGCTGTGAGAGAAAGCACGAACAATTTAAACGCTCATGGGGAAAGAAACGGCTCTTCAAATGATTCTCGACGTTCCGCTGACGTAAGAGTCTTAAAGACATGCTTCACTGTGGCCTGTTTCTATGTGATTACATGGTTTCCAATCTCCATTATCGTCGTCATTTGGCCTTTTGGGTATGATATTCCTCAAGTGGTTTGTACAGGAAGCATTTTCCTGATGTTCTCAAGCAGCCTTGTAAATCCATTTATCTATGGGGTTATGAATCCACAGTTCAAACTGGCTTTCAAGAGGGCACTTAGTTGTGGTCGCTATGGTAACGGAAACACTGATTTGAATCACTTAAGGAATAGAGTAAGACGCGAGGTTGCAAGAGGATTAGAGTCTGCAGCATAACTAAGATGATTCTTATAAATGAGACGATATTCTATATACAAAGCTAAAAGATTAGGAAAAAAATT